TGGAATCAGAGTCCACTGGGACAGACAGGTAACAAAGAAATACCTAAACAAATTAACTGACATGAAAAGAAAAAAATAAAAAATTACTTGGAGAGTAATTAATATTACTTATGCAACATAATCAATAATTGCCTATGAAAGTGGTGACTTAATAAACCTCACCAATCCCTTTTTCATATCATTCTCTCCTGATCTAGCTGTCTTAGCACATTTTAGATATTGATTCATAATTTTCTATAATAAATCTCAACACAAAAATGTTGAAATAACTTATTCTTTACTTTTCAAAATTTTAACTGTAAGGTAAGACCTTGTAACAGAGCCATGCAGTGAGGACCGAAACTTAAGAAACACCACTGTCTGTGCAGGCTTAAGGGCTCCCCGGCACCCAGCCTGGGGCCCATACCTACCAACCACCTGGCTCGTCTGCAAGGGCAGGAGGCCTGTGAAGCCACGAGGCAAGGACTGAGTCTGTCTCTCAGCTTTGCTTTCCTGGAGCTGATCCTCATGTCTGGCATGTAGAAGGGGCTCAATAAGTATTCATGAAGAAATGAGGGGCCTAAGATGTACTGGTGGAAACTGTATGTTTAGTATGAAAATAAGGTCCACTTGGTGCCATCAGCTGACATGCTGTCCCCTTGTTTTTAATCAGGTCACAATTACAGAGGTTCTGCAACCAGGCCATAGCATGGGGCATGTCTGGAACACCAGTCTCTGTAAACCAGGGTTGGGATTGCTTTCCCACGGGTTCTGAGTTCTTTGCCAAGTATGGTTTATGTGGAAAACACAGCGCTACCTGAGCGATTACACCGTTCACAGCCCGCGACTGTCAGCCAGGCATCAGGCTTTCAGCAGACAAGTCCAACAGCTGTCAAACTCTTTGTTTTTTTGAACTTGACTGGGAAAGAGGTGGAGGGTTGCTTGTTTGCTTGCAGTTGGAGCGGAGACCTCAGGGCGACCTCTGGCCCTGGTCAGGGTTTACATCACAACCAGTGAAAGTGGCCTGTGATTAGGTGCAGATGCTTCTCTGGAGAGGAGAGCAGCATTCCTTAGTTGGAGATGAACCTATCTCTAACTTAAGGGCTCCTTTGATTTACGGATGCTGGGGGGCAAGCACCAGAGCAGATAACCACAGAACCACCAGAATACCCACCCCAGAAAGCCCGGTTTCCTCCAGCCGGCCCCCAGTGTGGCCTGCAGAATGTCTCCTACACAGCACCACACAGTGGTACGTGCTCTTCGGATCTGAGCGGAGTATTTATAGTCAGACATCAGATCACTCACTCTCTCTGACTGAGCACTAGGACAGCAGGTCTTTTGTTGTTTCCGTAAGAATAGCTTGCTTAATCGGTTTTTGGACTTCTCATTTCTCAGGAACAATTAGAGATGTTAACACGCTGAGAATCTGAAGGGCTGGTAATGGAAGTGGTCTTTAAGGCAGCCTGAGCAGCACAGCGGGGGAGTTGGGTCTGACTACTTTCCATCTCCCCGTATGGTGGACACCTTATTCTGTCACATTCCCATGTCCTCATGCTGTCTCATCATTACACAGGTATCCCCACCCCCTAATTTTGTCCCCCTAATTTTATGAAGTCAAGTAGTATAGTGAGCAAAGTACAGAGTTTTGTTTTGGCTTTTATTTTATTTTTTGCCACTTACAGGCCATGAAATCTTGGGCACATGGCTTTTCAGAGCCTCAGTTTCCTTCTTTACACATGGACGCAAGTGCTGTGAGGACTCAGAAAAAGGCACAACAGGTGTGTAGCCCAGGGCCTGTCTCCAGCAGGAGCTCACCCCCTCTTCCCATCACCCTTGGGCTGGGGTTGGGTCTCCCTCACTCACCAGTCCCCCCAGATCCTGACTCACCCTTCTGGTATTCTCAGTGAAATTCACTAGTTCTCACATCATTATCTCAGGACATAACTAAAGGGCTGACTTGATCCCCTCTGTCAAGCTAACTCCTGTGAAAGCTCTGATGGCTGAAGGCATCTTAATGTGCTTGCTTACAGTAAAAGAGGGGTCCTGAATATGCAGAGCCTAAGTGGGAAAGAACAAACTCTCATACTAGGCAAGCCAGGGTGGGGGATACTTTTGGGTGACATTTATCTAGAGTTCCTCAAATAAAGAGCCATTTTCATTCAAAGATATCAGGTATTACAAAAATAAATGTCTCCCTGGATTTCTTCTTATTTAGTACCTATGGAAAAATCAGGGTTCAGGGACTACCTAAATTATCAATTTTTCCGACTTTGATATGCAGGCTTTCTCAGGAAAGTCTGCATCTCATACATGTGGCTATTTGTGTGTAACTCCAAATGTGAACAACAAAAAATACACTCTGTCAACAATCTACACTTTGTCTACATTGATTATCAAATACCCTGAGTCATATTTTCACTAAATCAACTGATGGCCAATAAAATTAAAGAGACATTATAAGCTTTGCATGGATGACTGGAATTTTCTAGGGCTCAGCTATTAAGGGCACTAAGTCAGACAATTTATGAATAATCTAGGAATCTTAGTGGAAATCTCATCTAATACATTGGAATTGGCTAGTTTTATATACATGTGTATATATATATATAAAGAAAAACAGGGTGGCTCCAGGTTAATCAATACTACCAAGAACCAAATTCACACCTCTGGAAGCCAAATAAGCTTAAATGAGCATAAAATAGAGCAGAAATAAGTTGAGAGTGAATAAATCATACAGCTTCCCTTAGAAAGTCAGCCCCTGCTGGCAGCGGGTCTTGTGGCCGGAGGCAGAGTGACATGGTTAAGAGGATGGACTCAGGTTCAAGTCCCTGCCCTACTTCTCGCCAACCAAGAGTCCTTGAGCAAAACACATAACCTGTTTGTCAGAGCCTCAGTTTCCTATTCCATAAAACTGGATAATAACATATTTCCCTCAAGAGTCAGGAGAGAATATAGATGAAGACCTCACTCAGGCAGGTCCTCAGATGTGTTTGCTCCTTTAGGGGCAAGAACAGAATTGTGCACCTATACAGGGACTAGGGAAAGCAAAGTGTGCCAGAATAACTTGGTGTCCCACAGAAGCACCAGGGGTTAGATTCAGAATCTCCTCTGTGGGGAGGATGAATGAAGGTCTTTATTTCACTGGATAGCTATGAGCGTCATCAAGCACAACTGTTGCTTCCCAGTGCACATGGCTTCAATCAAAAAAACAGAAAAGATGGCCTATGGAGGCAGGTCCTCTGATATTTGAAATGAGGTGTTTGCTTCACAGGACCTTTTCACAAACCCTGGGAGACAGGGAGTGACAGGCTGGAGTGTCAGGGCCAGAGCACAGGCCATGGGGTTAGCCAGCCAGACATCTGTGCCCTCCAAGCCCAGTGAGACCTTGAGCTGGTCATTCACTTCTCTGACCCATACAATCGGGATGATGATATCCAGGGCTGCTTATCTGGTTTGAAAAAATAAGATGGGAATTGGGTTCTTGGCTGGTGGTGATCCACCAGGAGCCACCCTCTTCTTTTCTTTCAGTGACCAGTTCCAAAGCACTGATGTCATAGGGCGGCTCTGAGGGTTAAGTAAGACCATGTGTGCGATGATCTTAGCCCAGTACCTGGCACACAGGAGTCGGTATGTCATAGCTCCTAAAATGATCAAGATAGCATCATCCCCGTGTCCTGTCTGAGGAGCCTGAGGTTAAACAGCTAGTCATCGGCAGAGGGGAGCCCGGCCTCTCGAAGAAGCCTGTACCAAAGCACAGGTTGCATGTGATTTGCCTGAAACTTCCACCTGACAGGTAGAATGACTTGTTAGGGGTCTCAGAGCATGTCAGGAATGCAGCAGGCTCCAGTATCTGGCCCTTCTGCTCAGTAGCTACTAATCCATAGGCTGCAATGTGCAGATCTGCTCAAACGCTGCAGAGAACCACACTCGTCAACCCATGAAGGAAGCTGAACCACTTGGGGACAGAGGAGAGGCTCTGGGCCTGTGACAGCATGGTAACCGTGCCTCTGGGCAGCCTAGTATGTGGAGCTGGCTGCTGGCTGAGTGCTTTCCTGGTTCCTTTGCAATGACTTTGGAATGAAAAGCAAACTCAGACTTTAAATTTGAGGATATTTTTCCTGATAATGAATTCTCTTGCCTTCTACTGAGTCTGAGAAGTTGGCTTGAGCAAGATTTGGCTGTGGGCTTTTTCCATCTCCTTCAATCCACGGAGACTAGCATTCATTCTTATTTTGTGTCAGAGTCTTTGCAAAGACTGTGCCAAGCCCGGAGCTCAGTGCTGCCCAGGAGATCTGAGAACCCTGCCGTGTCAAACCCCACAGGTGGGAAGAGCTGTGTTGAGGCTGACAAAGCTGCTCTTTGAGTGAGTTTCAGATGGAGAAGGTGCTCTCCTCAAGGGGAGGGTGTGGCTTCAAAGGGTTTCTTACTGGCCCTCATCCCCCGCCCACTACCAGCCTGGGCAGTGGGGATGAATTCTTGCTTTACAGTATTTGACAACTTCAGAGCATACTGGAAAGAGCAAGGAGTATTAAGTATGGCAGATCTCAAGACAGGCTGACTTTGAAGCCCTGGACCCTCTTGCATAGTCACAGAGGGGAGAATTGTAGGGGGATGGTACCCCACAAAGCTATCCTCCTCTCAGCTTCTGTATCACAGGAAAGATTCTGGGTTGCTATACACAGTGCACATGAGTCCACTAGTCAAGAGTTTTGTCCAGGCTGAAGATATATATATTATATACATAAAATACAATCTGCATATTTTGACTTTTTGCCACATGTTCTCTTTGGGTTCCCATTTTTCCAGAATTCGCACATTATCAACCATTTCTCTGACAACCTATTCCTTAGGAGAGCTCTCTATGTACTTTACATATGAATTATAAGAAGATGAGCTTTGAACCTGAAGGCAGCAGGCAGCACTTACACAGCTGGCAAGCTGAAGTACAGAACTGCATGTAGATTGTGGACTACTGATCTTTGAAAGAATTAGGTGCTGTGAATAAAGTGTTTGGAACTTACCTGCATCTCGGTCCCTGATACAGTAGTCTGGAGAATTCTCAAAATACACGAGATCATTTTTCGTTGGCTTCTTAAACCTCTTGTTGGCCACAGTGAAACCAGTGCCATCCTGGTTCATGACAACCTGGATGGCCCCATTGTACTTCCTCCAGAGATAATCGCCTGTTTTCCTGAAGTCGGCCATGGCCAGCCAGCACGTCCTCAGGGTGCATGAGCCGCTCACGCCGTGACACTTGCACTCCTGTTTCAAGAACCTCTTCACAGCCTGCCAGAGAAGAAGGGCAAGTTCAGGCAAGGTGGACTATGCTTGTGACCGTGCTACGACTTTCCTTAACCACCGAGCAATCAAGAAGGAGTTCTGAGGACACAGGATCCCGAAGCCTAGGACTGGGAGATGGGGCAGGCCGCTTGTTGGTCACTCAGCCACACCACACTGACCACAGCAGGCGAGGCGCTGGCAAGAGTTGTTGGGGGGCAGTGCCTGACTGCAAACCCCAGTTAGCTGTCTGTATAACGAAAACCTCACGAATTTAAATTTAACAGGGCACAGGGCCAGCTTGAAGAGTGAGGTAATGAATTAGAGTAATTTCTAAATAAATATACCTTTCTTGTATTAAAAATTTTTACTATTACTCAAATTAAATTAACAAGATAATTGCTAAGGCTGATTCTTTCAAGAAACCAGTAATAGTGATTGTTACTATTTATGAGGTGCCTTCCATGTTCTGGACATCATGCTAATGCTTTCTGCACTCTATCTCAATGACTGCAACCTTCACAGCGATCCAGTGCTCCCTTATTTATTTTTCAAATGATTACACAAGACTTAGGGAGGCTTAAGAACCTCTCCAGAGTTACAAAGCTGCTCTACGACAGAGCCAGGGTACAACTGGAGAGTCAGCTGGCGACCTTGAGGTTGACAGTAAATTTAGGAAATTATTGCTCAACTCTGGCTGAGTTACTCAGCTTAGATGACAGTGCTGAGCTGGCTCTGTTCTTTCACAGAAAGGAAGCAAAGGGAAGTGGGGCAAGCACATTGTGGCTGGCTCCCAGCCCTGAAACCCCCCTTGTATGGGTTGTGAGGCTGTGGACGGGTCCCTAAGGATCTGGTGGGACCCGGCACTGCCCAGAGACATCTCTGCTTTGGTTTTGGGATTAGCTGGCTGTCCTGTGCCCTCCCCACAGTGATTTTGTGAGCGTTATCTTGTCCTGGCCCGTTTCTCCTTGGCTCCCTCGGTGAGACGGTCATTACCACTCATGAGCCTCATGCGTGCTGAGTTACTGCCCTGTCCATTTCCCAGATGAGGAAACTAAGGATTAGGGAAGTACGACGACTTGTCCGGGCTCCGGGGCCAGGGTGCGGAACAGACTCCCTGAGGTTCTGCTGTAACTGGCCTGGGTGTGGGGCGTGGGGGTGTGGCTCTGGCGCCCAGCCCAGGTGGTGCTCCCTGCTGTGCGCTTGCTCACCGCCCCCACGCCCCAGACTCATACACAGATTCTGCTCTCCCAGGCTGCCTCTTGCCCGGGCCTCCCCCCAGGCAACTTTGCCCTGGTGCTTGAACCTGGTTTTGCCTCTTCTACAGATTCAGTTTCTGACGAAGGCTATAGTAGAACCAAGTGCACAGAAATGTTCTTCATTCCAGAAAGTCAGTCCCCAGAAAGCATTCTAGAGCTGAAGGAGCCATGACATCATGGGGCTCAGTGGTGTCAATTCATTTACACCCTTCCCAGGTCAGGGCTGGGCACCCACATCCGTTGCCCCTCATGGCGGACTATGCCCTGTCACATTTGAAATCTGTCCTCTCATGAGCCAGCCTTGGAGGACAAGGACAGAGGAGTGAGCAAGAGGGATCTTGTCAGGAATGCCCTCCGGGTCACAGGGGTCTGAGCACCTTTAAAGGCCCTCTTAGACTGAGCTCCTTTTCTGGAACTTCCCTCCCCCATATGCTCCCCTTCCAACCAAGACCTCTGTATCTTTATATTCTGGGTGTTTAGTATAAGGCTCACAGGATGACCTAGACAGCAGGCTTCTGGCACAGGCACAATCCTAGGAGAGCCATCTTGGCACCCCTGCTCTGCCCTATTTGGGTCCCACCAGAACAGGAGCTTGCTAAGATCTCAAAAGAATCATACAAAACTTACTCCATGCCAACTGCTTGGGAATTGACTGTGAAAGCTCGTTCTTCCTAGCTTATTTCTCTTAAAGCCAGGTTATTTACTCATAAATAATGTCAAATGACAGGAAATATTACTGCCCTCCCTTTGTAATGTTAAGTTTCCAGGTTGCAGACTTAAAAGTTGGTATTTTTGTATGATTAACTAAAGAATTTGCATACTAATTTAAAATTGGATCTTAAAAATGCACCTTACGAATCCTTATACACGCACGTGGCAGCGGTACACACTGTTAATCATCATCGCTGGCAACAGCCTTTTCCCTCTTCCTTCCAAAATTTTGTCCAAGTGTTGGGCAGCCACATGCCTCAGAAATGGCCAGGCCTTTCTGTGACCCAGAGCAGCCCAGATCAGTAATAGGAATTTCATTGCCCTGCCACTGATGATTTTCAGCAGAGGGCATGTGATGATTTAATTTGGGCCAAGATGATGTTAGAAGTACTCTGTTGGTGGGCTTGTAAGAAAGGTTTCTTCACTCTTTACAAGAGACACATGAAGAGTACCTTCTCTGTCTCTGGGTGCAGTTTTCTGCAGCAGCCCCCTTGGGGCCTGAGATACCCTGTGCAGGACAAGCAACAAGCTGCAGATGGCAGTACTGAGAGCGGGGCAGATCTGGGCAGAGAGGGGCAGAGCAGGACAGCAAGGGGCAGAGGGGGCCAGAGGGGGGCAGTAAGGGGAGCAGAGTGGGGCATGGGGAGAATGGGACAGTGAGGGGCAGAGGGGGGCAGAGAGGGGCAGAGCCAGGCTCTGGAGGATGTTGCTGGCCCGCCTGAGTGAACCTCCTTGGCCTGTCCTGCCTCCAGACAGGGATTCTTGTGATCCAAGATAGTAAGTTTTCCTCATTATTTTTTGTGCCCTTGGGGCCTGTTACTTATAACTGAAAGTATTTCACCTGAAACAATGGTCAGGTCTTGATTGTGGATCAATCGCAGGCTCTGTCTGACAATCAGCCTTGGGGGAAAGTGAGCCATCTCTGATGCTGGTTTGCTCACCTCTCCAGGCCCCGTTCTCAGCACAGGACCCACTCAGTGCTCAATCGCGGCTTGGGGCTGCCTCCACCTCTTCTGTTTACTGGGTTTGTGGACTTGAAATGCAAGCCCTTAACCTTGCAGAGCGCAATGTCCTGCTCAGTCAGAGGGAAGGGATCTAAGCCTAGGTGGTGGGATTTATAGAACAACTGATGAAGGAATAGGAATGGGCTGAGAAGCTTACAAAGAGGACTCCTAGTTTAGAATTCCAACATCCAAATGTTCTAACAACATTATAATAATAACCACTTATTGAGTACTGCACTCTGTGCCCGGCTCTAGCCAAGTGGTGTACACACATTATCTAATTACCATAATTAGGCAAAATAGGTTATTATTCCCAATTCTATAGTTATAAAAACCAGCACCCAGTGAGGGAAGCAAAATACCAAGTCACTCAGCTAGAAAGAGAATTGGGATAGGAATCAGATATGTCTCACTCCCAGAACTGTGCTCTTTTCTAAAAACACATTTAAAATCCCTGTATAAATTGTATTCTTCTTTACTCGAAGTTTGAATTATGCATACTCCACTTCCCTCCATTCTTTTTAATAAATCAAGAACTGACTGGATCATATTACAGACCTATTATAATAGGGAAAAAGAGGTAGAGAAATGGGGGGCAACAGGGGATGGGGGTGGACTGCCTTGCATCTTCCAAACTAAGAGTCATCAAAATCTATTAAACAGGCAGTTTGCAGAAGACATGTAGAGTACTAATGAAAAGATAAAAAGATGTTCAACTTCACTAGAAATAAGGAAAATGCTAAGTAAAAGAACGCAACACCTTTTTACCTCCTTGCAAATTAACAAATGTGTAGAAAAAGATGGAAAGTATTTGGTTTTGGTAAGAGTATGTGGGAAGAGATGCTTTAACGGACTGTTGGTGGGAGAGAAAATTGCTGCACCATTCAATGGAGAGCATTTTTGCAAGACCTGTCAAAACTTAAATACGCATAGCCTCTAATCTTGGCAATTGTATTCTTGAAAAATCCGCACAAATTTTGGAAGACACACCCTCCTATGTATATTCATTGCAGCATACTCAGTAATAGCAAAATATAGGAGGAAACCCAAATGACAGCAGGAAAACGGTTAAGCAATTTGTGGTCTATGCTTAATAATGGAATATTATGTGGCCTTTGGGTCTTTGACTTATGATGTAGGTCAGTATTATATGCATGAGAGGACATCAAGTGATGAAAACAAAATCAATATATGTGGTATGATGCACATTCTAGAGGCGTCTGTATACACAGAGGAGGAAGGGAAAGAATGTTCTTTTACATCTGACTGCGGTCTGAAGGGTTGCCTGGCACCTGGAGAGAGCAGAGCAGTGGTTCTCATTCTGGCTACACATTAAAATCACATGGGGATCGTTTCCAGCCCACGGACACGGGCGTCCCCCCAGGCAAATAAATCAGAACCTGGGCTGAGGGTGGGGCCCAGCCTGACAGTACTCTGGGTCTTAGGTGCCTCTGAGATGCAGCCAGGCTTAGGATCGCGTCCAAACCCGGGAATGCTGTGGAGAAAAAGAGCTAATGCACCACACGGGAGTCGGGGTCCCTCCAAGCGCCAAGCAGGTAAGCATTTCCGGTGGCAGTGGGCAGCATTGCATTTTTAGGAACGGGTATCTTACTATTGAATTAGAAGTTGTGTGCTACTCCATGCCTCTAGAATGTCCTATCCTCCAGGAAGAAATATCCCCAAGCAACAATCTGTGCTCGCTCTGCTTTGGAGGTATTGAAAGAAGATGGTGACCGGTCGAGTAATAGCCAAGTGGTTTTAGAGGCACAGGCTGCAGGGGGTGCCAGCCAGGAGGGACGCTCGCCTGGGGGCCACGTGAGGGGCTTGGTGAGGGACTGGTGGGCCCCCTGAGGAGCGGCGGCAGACTTTTTACTTGCTCAGTAAAACAAGGCGTGAGCAAACCGGAGGACCTGGGGATAACCCAGGGGCTGCCAGACATTTTGGGGCTTTTTGTGTTTGTTTCTTTTTAGTGATTACTTTGAAACATTTTAATTAGAGAAATATGTCCACATGCTTTTAGAAAATTAAATAGTCC